TAAATGCAAACAAGGGCATGGATGGATAGAGAATACCAATATCCCAAAATCATCCTTACTGAACATACTCAAAAGAAGCATGGATCTCTCTGTAGCAACATGAATACATGGCATAAAAATAACAGCAGACAAAGACTTAGTGAAATTCTAAGTCTCTAAAATCAGCAATATCACGAGAGCTACTTTGCATGCTTGTGCTAGTCACCACATTGATTACAAAAATACATGGCATACACCCCTGTAAAGATGGCATGACATATAATTAAACACATATAGAGCTCATACTCATATGCAGCGCACAAAAATCATGGCAAAAATGAAAAATGCTCATAATCTGATAAGAAATAGGAACTAACATTTTATAGCCCCCTTGCAACAGTCATTAGGGCATAAAGATGGACTCAAACAAGCATGGTGCAATGGAATGAAATGAAGAGCACATCATGATGAACATTTCGATATATTATATGCATGAAACGGAGCTACGGATGAGGAGTTATGAAGTGATGAACAGGGCTAGAAAATATCACAGATCTGGGGACTTAGTGGGAAAAAAAATACCCGAGCGTAGAATAGCTAAAGTTCGCTCGGGGCAGAGGTTAGGGGGGGTAGCTCACCACGTGGACTTGGCCCAAAAGAGGAGGCGGTAGCGGGCCGGCGATGATGGGCCTCAACGAGGTCGCGGCTTGCGAGGCCCACGCGGAGGGTCGACGTGGCCGTCGTCGTCTCCGAGCGGGACGAGGCCGACGAAGGTGGCGGGCGCGGCCGGCGGGATCCGGGCGGCACTCCGGTGAGGGGAGAGCCGGCCGCGAGCAGGAATGGGCTGATCCGGGCGCGGGATCCCCGGATCCGGCGATAGCGAGGCCGGACAGGGACGCCATGGCGCGGGGAAGCGCACTCCGATGAACCCCGGTGAAGAGGGCGGCGGCGCAGGCGAAGGGTGGTCCGTGCGACGCTCCGGGGAGCGGTTCAAGGAGGCGGTGGAGGCCGGCGACGGAGGAGCGGCGTGCAGCGGCGAAGACAGGCGGCGCAGAAGCCGAGACGAAGTCCGGCGAGACCCGGGGCGGCGTCCTGCGATGCGCCGGTGAGGTGGCGGCGAAGTCCGGCGAGCGGGGCGCTCGTCGGCGGTGGGAGCGAGGCGCGCAGCGGCGGAGGGCGCGCGGGCGCGAGGCGGCGCCGGATGGGCTCACGCGGGCCGCGCGGGCTCGGCGGGCCGGCGCGGTGGGAGGCGTG